CAGGCACTGAGCCCCTGCGTGCTGCTGCTGTGTCCCCATCCCCGTGTCCATGTGTCCCTGTGCCCGTATGTGTGTGTCCCTGTGTCTGTGTGTCCCTGTGTGTATCCGTGTGTTATCCCTCTGTCCTTATATCCCTGTGTCCATGTGTGTCTCCATGTCCCTGTGTCCCCGTGTCTGTGTGCCCCCGTGTCCCTGTGCGTGTCCTCCCGTGTCCCCCGTGTCCGTGTGTGTGTCCCGGTGTCCGCGTGTGTGTCCCCGTGTCCGTGTGTCTGTCCCGCTGTCCGTGTGCGTGTCCCGGTGTCCGCGTGTGTGTGTGTTCCGGTGTCCGTCTGTGTGTCCCCGCGTCCGTGTGTCTGTCCCGCTGTCCGCGTGCTCTCCTTCCCCCGCATGCGCGAGCGCCGCGCGCGCAGGGCGCCCCCCGGCGGTGGCGCAGGCGCCCTGCAGGGGAGGGCGGTAGGCGCCGTCGGTCCTCCAGGCCGCCAGGGGGCGGGCGCGCGGGGCTGAGGCCGGCCGGCGCTGGGCGAGAAGAGCGGCGGGCCGGGGCGGCGGCACCACGAGCGGGCGGGGACCGGGCGGGCGGCGCGGCATGGAGGCGCCCCGTGCCTCGTACCCTCCGTTCGCCGCCGCGGGACGCGGGCCATCAAAGGCATCCTTTAGAAGAGCGGCAGCAAGGAACGTCGCGGGGCGGCCCGTCGGGGCGCGGCGGGCCAACCGCGCCTGCAGAGAGGCGAGCACGGGTTGAGGCCCGGCGGGTGTTTGGGCGGCGGCAGCGTCCCGCGGGCCTCTCTCCATCCCTCTCGCCCTCCCTCCGGCCGTCCCGCTTGTCCGGGGTCCCGCGGAGCGGGGTCAGCCGAGGGCGTCTCCAGCCGGGGCTCTGCGCTGCCCGGGTGGTGCCGGGGGTATCAGGGGGTCCATCCGGAGCCCCCGTGCTGCGGCGGCCCGGCAGCTCGGCTCCATCGGCAGTGGGAGCACGTGCGGGATGGGCAACCGCTGGGAGCGAGGGAATGCCGGAGCTATGCTCTTGGCGAGGCGGGCCGGGTAACTGTGGCCGTGGCTCCTGCCAAGGAGTGGCACTTCCCTGCCGGTGTGGCAGCTCACAAAGAGCTTTACAGATGCTACGAGGGTAGTTCGCGCTTTGGGAAGTAATGCTTTGCCGTGTGAGATTTACTCTCAGCCTTCTCAAAGGCAGCTCATGTAACCAGAAGCGTGTCCCTGGGGAGGGGACCTCTCCTGGGCTGAAGTGTCATCGAGATGTATTGAATCATACGTAAAGATCTCACACTTGAGAATGTGCACAGGCCGTGTGGTTTGTGATCTGACTGACATGAAAATCTTGGTTTAATTGTAACGTGCTGAGTTAGTCCAAATATGCAAGAAGTGGTCTTTAGCCGGCCAGCACCTGTCCTTTGGCAGTGAGAATTCCTGCACTTTTCCTGATGCACTCAACATGTGCCTCCTAATGTTGCTCTGAGACTCCATCACATTATGGTGAGCAAGGTTTGACCTGAACTCTGTTTGTAAAATTGCTTTTGACATTTTTCTTTATGTGGGACCTAACTCCATATCGCAAGGAGAGAAATAATGATTAGAATAAAATGGACATGCAGGGTTTTTTCCTTTTTTTTTTCTTTTCCCATTCTTTAGTTTTACTATTATGTAGCACAGGGTGTTCAGTACCACACCAGACATGAAGTACAGCTATTGGTAGCCTCTGTTTAATTTTCTACAGTTTTTTTTGTACCATGTTGAATGAGCAGGAATTGGAGTATGAACAGATGAGCATCTGGTGTATTGGTTATTGCACACAGTAATTTCTTGGGAAGCAGTTAGTGGGCAGGAGTCCAGCTTCTATTTCCTGTTTACCAATGTGAGTCAATACAGTCAATTAGATTATTTCTGAAATTGCCTTGCAAGCTAAAGGATATTGGCTAAACCTGGCAGGCTGCATTAGGAGATTTCCAGGAAAGATCAGTGCAGTGTATTTAAAGCTGGCTTGTGTGCAGTTATTATTTTTGATTGGCAAGCATCATCATATCAGTGTTTTTGTTTTTAAAAGAATGATAAATAGTACAGCTGTGATTTTCCTTGAAGATTAAAAATTATTTAATAAATTCAGGTATCTTTTTTCTTCATGTACCTCTGTCAGCAGCCTCTCTGCTTATTTCCAGTACTGAAATTCAGTTCTGAATATCTTTTAAAAATAACTGCAGATGAAAGAGCTCATTGTGTCAGCTGTCATCTTTTAAAGATCCATGTTCAGTAGAGCTCTCATGGGCTTGCATCATTCTTGACCTTGCACTGCTGTCAGTGATGGTAACATTCTTTGGAAAACTTCCTTAATGAAAATATGATGCAAGATGGAAGCTTGAGAAATTGGGACACCCCTGGAACTGCATCCTGAGAGCTGAGATTGTGGTTTATTGGTAGATCTGTTCTTGGCATTTCTCATGTGCAGTACTTTTTGCCTCCAGGCCCCTGTAAGAGCCTGTGAGCAATGGGATCTGATATTTTATGGAGTAGCAGTGTGAGAATGTGTGTGTCAAGCACCTGTGGTGGAAGAGATGAGCCTGCTATGGTAGGAGCGAGGAGTGAGGTGTTCCTTAGGTAACACTGCTGCTGAGACTTTTTGCCAGTCCAGGGTGTGGTGTCAAATGAAATTATTGTGTATTTTTAAAGATGTGAGAAAATACAAATGAGCACTTCTGAGATTTTGCAAGTATGATTTTCCTGAGGAAGATTAGATTTCCTGTTTCCATATCTGAAGGGGTGTCAGGAGGCATTTCCCTGTCATAGTCCTGAGCTCTGTCATTAGTGTTACACTGTGCAGACATGCCTAAGCATGCAAAATTGGAGACAAACAAGGGAGATGTGGGTTTTTAGAGCACTTAGTCACTCTCCTGTGATGGCTTTTTACATGCAGCGGAGAAATTACATGTTTGTCTCTTTGCCACTAATGATTTCTTTTTTCCCTAGCCGAACTTTAAGTTGTGCTTTGGGGGAGTTCCACAGCCAAGGCTTTTAATGTTGGAATCTGAGTTTAAAGAAATGAGTGTGAAAAACTAAACCACTACGAAGTTCTTCACTCTTTTATTTGTGAGTCCCTGCCTTGCTCGCTGTAGGCTGTCTGATGTCGAAGCAGCGAATACAAAGGGATTGTTCCAAGATTGCCAATATTATTGTCAAGTATTGAGTTGTGAGCCCAGGCAATAAACCTTGATGGACTCTGGGCAAATGAACACAAAGCCTGTGCTGGGAGTTGCTCCCATCTGTCATACTTCCTACTCAGCTGAGCTCTGTCTGTTTACAGGGGCCGTGTACCCTTGGCCAGCTGCCGTGGCTCATAAAAACCCTCCCTGTGCAACCGAGTGATCATCTTAGTTAGTCACAGGTGAACTTTGGGCTGATGTTTAACTGGTGATTTTTCGACTCCTAAATAGAAAGGTTTGAATGACTGGTGTTCCTAGACCAGAGCTGCTGCTTTGTCATCAGGAAGCTCATGACTCCTGGCCCTGCCAGAGCCGCGATCGGGCTCACGTGTTGTCCGCTTAGGCTGCACAAAATGATTAAATAGACCTGAAGCCTCAAACATGAGAGCTTGGCATTGGTTTCTGTATGCTGAGGGGATTAAGATCACTCAATTTGTATTCATTTTTGGAGTGTAAGTCTGTGGCATGTGGGATTCAGCATCAGCCCCCACATCTATTTTTTTTCTCTTCAGTTTTTTTCCTCCCACACTGTATTACGCAGTGCTCCCGTAAATGTAAAATTTTAGTTTGTGCTTATCAGTTTTTGTTCTACAGAGAGCATTCTGCTCAAGGCTATTTGTGTTATTGAGATTGAATATATTTTTCAAGTTTGTTATTGGAACAGTTTGTTTAAACAAGAGTAGTTAAGTGGAAGTCTTCCAGCCAACTGTCCCTCCCCCCCAAAAGAAACCAACCACACCAAACCAAACAAAAACCCTACAAAACTCAGGAAGTCCTGTAACATTTGCTTCTTAACTAATAATTTTCAACAGGAATATGTTAATTCATAAAGTAATACTAAATTGTGAAATTATTTTACTAGTCTGAAGTTAGATTTTTGGCTTAAGCTAAGGGAAAGACCACCTTATACGAAGCTTGCAATAACCTTTTTTAGAGAAAATGTGGAACATGGTGGTTTTTGTTCCTTTAACATTTTTTGTGGCTTTTAGATCAGTGGAGGGATGGCTCTTCCTCTGGCCACGAGACAGTTGCTTTCCTTGTGGCTTATATGTTTTGTCAGTGAGCAGTCAGTGTGGGTGAGCTTTTGTTTCTCCAAATACACATAAAATGGTACATTTTCTGGTTGAGTGAGGAAATTCTAAATAATGTAACATCACTGGTGCCTGTCTGTGTAAAATGTGAAACTCCCTTGGCTTAATTACAGCAGTGAATCAGTTGGCTTATGATTCCAATTTAGAATTACAAGAGCAGTATTAATAACCAGCTTGTTCTGTGCTGCTTATTTTACTGCAGGGGGGGATTTGCTGGTTGGTATCGTTTATGTAACAGGTTTGCTAATAATCATAGCAGCTCCCTGAGCAGAGGTGAGCTGGAAGGTATTGGGTTCTGTTGAGCTCTTGTGGGGTGTACTAAGAGGAGGAATGCTTTGTTACAAGTTACTGTAAAATCCAGCTGTTCACAAGACACTGATTGAATGAGACCAGTAGTTTCTGGATTATATGAACAAGAATACATTTATAGATCACTGAGTTTATCTGGCTATTATGACTTCTTAGGGAAATTAAGTTGCACTGATAATTTGTCATGATATAAGTATCTATAGAACAGTATTTATTAGTCATACTTTGAACATGTCTGTGTGTCACAACAATATTCTTTGCATTTAGGATGTAGTAAAGATCAAAAAATGTTTTAAACATTCTTTAAACAGCACTAATTGTTTTTAGAATATAAGAATATAAGAAAATTTTAGAATATTAGAATATAAGAAAATTTAACTTTGTTTTCTTATTTCAGTAAAAAGTCCCAGAAGTGGGATGAAATGAACATCATAGCTACATACCACCCTGCAGGCAAAGATTATGGCTTGATGAAAATAGATGAACCAAGTACTCCTTATCACAGGTATGCTTGCTAAACTCCTGAGTGCAGCCAGGTGACGTCATAGTTTTACAGCAAAATTTACCTTGTGGGTGATGTAATATTTATTATGGCTGATTATCTGTGACTGTGCAGGCCTACTGAATATATGCAATGTATTCAGATTTACAAAGCTGCTAAATAAAGCTTGTAGCTACTGAGGAGAACTATCTAAAAGGGCAAAGTCAATTTTAGAAGGTTTATGTCTAGCAGGTTTTAGGCTTTGAATGGAATAAATAAGTCTGACTTGTATTGATTTTATTTTTTTCAGTGCTAGAATCTAATGTTGTCATATCATTATTTAAAGTAGATTTGGAAAGCTTTTGAAGTACTAAAGGAGTCTTTTAATTGAAGGTTTTGACTGTTTTCTCAGCAAACTTTAAGCAGCAAATTACTGATAAAAGCTACTTTTTGTTTGCCCTCTAAGCATGGTAGGAGAAGATGATGAGGATCCAGTGAGTGATTCAGAAGCAAATGAGCCCTTAAAAGCAGACGTGCTGAGTAAAAAGTAAGTATTGTCATAGAAAAAATTGACTAAATGTTATGATAATCTGCTCTTTCCTGGGGTACATTTTCTTTGTGGAAAGCTGTTGCTGGTTTCTCCAGAAGTTTCATTTTTGCTGCTGTCAAATTAATTGGTTTTCAGTGTTTGATGGCGCCACTAGTAAAATTGCAGGTTGTTACTACATGAAAATATGCAAAAATAATGAACAAAGCAGTCTGTATGAGTGTTCTGAAATGCCATGTATTTGAAATAGTGAAAAACTTGCTGTTTCAGCATTTTGTATTGCATGATTTATGTAGACTGGCAGCTGCAGCTGAAGGTAGAGGACCCAAGATCATAGCAAGGCAAGAGGAAAGCAGTGAGGAGGAGGAAGAGGATGAAGAATTAACACCTGAGGAACGAGGTAGGCATAAGTTGTTTCCTTTGTTTTGCTTTGATTTTTTTTTCCTACCAAATAGTTTCAGATTTTCAGTTAGAAATGTTTGGGAAGAAAAAGTACTATTAGAAAAATGTTGTGATTTGAAAATGAAGATAAATAGTCTTTGAACAAATATGCTGTTCGTTTCTAATCAGGACTGTTTGGTTTGGGATCTGCATATAAACAGGAATTTGCTGTTGCTGGATGCCTTCTTGTATACAAGCTTCAGCTGTGGGAATTCCTGCTAAAAAGATCTAGAGTCCTCAGTGAAGTTCTTCTGGTTTGGGGGTGAGGGAGTAGTTCTTAATATGGACATATTTCAGGTAGGCTTAATTCAATGAGTACCACTGCAGTTAAGATGCTACTAATTGCTTGCAAACATACAGATGCTATTTCTGTTGTTTTCAAAGCAACTAGTAGGTGTATCCAGTAGGAAATCTACAGTTATTCCAAAGCAAATAGCACCTTTAATAGAGATGTGGTTTTGTGTTAACTTGAACTGGAGTGTTTTGAGGGAACAGTCAAACAATACTTCTGAGGTTTCAGTCTTGCATTATCTAGCTGGTGCTTCTCAGATTTCCTGGTCCCAGCTTTAAGCGTGTAACCCTGCTATTCTGAAGTAAGAAAAGAAACCAACAGTGTTTGGGCTGCCAATAAGCAAAGTTTATTTTAATTATAATACATTATTGCTAGACCTGCTAATGTTTAGTATATGGAGCAGAGTTAGGCTTCAGGCCATGGGGAAAGTGGAAAATATTTTCTTCTACATGTGATAAATATATCTCTCATAACTGACCTTTGGTAGCTAGCCAGGAGTCAGGCCACATCTGCACAAGTTCGTCTTCTGTCCCACCAGTATGTCTCAGTTTGTCCTTAAGTTCACTTAGAAACAAGGCTTGTGAAACTTTGGAATTTTGTGTGCTGCTACCAGATGCTTCTCTTGGTTCAGACTTGCTCTTAGTTGCAAACGGGTTCTTTTAAAAGTGCTTCAGCCATTCCAGTCCATCAATTACTATCCTTTTTGTGAGTCAGACTCAATATAAGAACACTCCACTGCTTGAAGAAAATAATTTTAATTCAGTGATTGACTAAATAATGTATTTTCAAGGTAGGAACAAATTTGATCTAGGAAGCAGTGAGTGCCTCTTTGAAGAAGAAATAGGTTGATTTTTCTTTTTAAGGGAAGAAATAAATATTTGCATTTGTTTGTTCACAGAGAAAAAGAAACAGTTTGAAATGAAGAGAAAAATGCACTACAATGAAGGAAGAAACATCAAACTGGCAAGACAACTCATTGCAAAAGAATTACATGGTGAGGAAGAGGATGATGAGGATGAGGATGAAGAGATGTCTGATGCTGCAGATGTGGAAACAATGAGTACAGAAGCTGCTGTACATGGTGAGCTACTGATTAATTAAAAAGCACGTGTAAGTACTGGTGTCTCTTTGAACTGTTGGGAAACAGTGAGCAGTGCTGCACACTGTCTTGAGAGGTAGATTGGAAACATGTAACACAAACCACCAGTGTTGATAAATAGCACGTAAGCTTTTGTTTGTTGTGACAAAACAGAAAAGCAAACATCTCTGCTTCCTACTGTTTCCCCAACATAACTGACTTTGGGCAGTGAAGTTGCCAGCATCCTTTTTAAGGGAAAAGCTGTCTTGTACCCAGCATTAAAAGCTGTGGCCACACAGGAGAGCCTGGCTTTTTGTTGTGGGTCAGTTCCCATTCTGCTCCCAATCCATCCTAGAGCCAGCAACGGGAAACAACCATGAATGTTTCCTCTCCACTGAGATGACTGTATCTTAACTTCCTAAGGAAGAAAACTCTAATGTAAAACTGGTGTTAGGCCTTCAGTACAGACTTGTCCTTGAGCAGTAATGTTTATTTCTATAGTATGGGATAAGACTCTCAGTTTTGCTTTTAGTGCAGCTACTGGAAGAAAGTATGGGACTTTTAGGTTGGAGCTGTTTCTGGAACCTGCTTCAGGGCTGTCTCTTCACAGGAAACTTATAAAACTGTAGAGGCTGACATCTTCTCTTTCATCTTTAAGCTGCTCTCTGGGTGAAAAGGGTAAACTGTATAATAAAAGTCTTAGATTTTTGTGGTGGTCTTCTGGTGAATAATTACAGTCCACTTCCCACCTGTGTGTGTAACAGCACTTTTAACAAGTTTTTGACATTAAGAAAACAGACATCTGTTGCTGATGGGCTGTGAAGTCTGTAAGCCTCATTCATCTGCGGGTGGCAAAGCTATGAGATGTTAGCATGGTCTGCAGACTTGGGAAGATGCTGCATGGGTTTAACTTGGTTCACGTGTGCTTTTCACAACCATGTGAACTAGGACCTCTTCTAAAATTCATTTAAATTCCACGCAATAAAAAGATGATATGCAAAGTTGCATGTTTAAGTTCTGTGGATTGCACGTTTTAGTCCCGTCATTTATTGCAGGGGGACTAATGCCTTCACAATTGCTCTGAAAGGGTCATTTGGTTCATGTCTGAGACCCATTACTGGACTGACTTAATCCAGTAACTTAACACATGCCTTATAATGGCTAATTACTAGAACTTCACTCTCCAGGGGAAAGGAGGGCTCCAATAGGCAACCGTATGACCTTTCTCCATGGCTTGAAGCTGCCATCTCTCTGCACTCTGCTGTAAAACAGAGGCAACTCCGCTCCCCAGCTGCATTCACCACTGGAAAGAAGGCACACCTTTGCAGCATTTTTCCATCTCTATTGTTGAAGTCCATTCCACCTTCCTCATAACCAGCTTCAGAGCCACAACTGGTAATTATCAATTTTAGACTGCTCATGGCTTATAAACTGTCTGCCAGTTTATCAACCCATTAACTAACTGGTTCACCTCCACACCATAGCATATAGAAATACTTTCCATTAACCTGATGTAGTTCTCAATTCTTCACTTTTCTATCATTCTGCTTAAACCTTGTTTCATTATCTCCTAATCTCTGTATCAACTCTCACAGCTTTTGGTCTCTGTCCTTGGATCAGTTCTTCTGCGGTTCAGTACTGGTCTCACTGCTGTAGCAGCTGGTGAACTGAATGTCCTCAAACGTTCCTACATTACGATAAATGTTCAGCAACATAGCTGTGTTAATGTCAAAGCTTTACTGGAATAACTTTTTTGAGATTACATCTATTTCTCTCTCTCTCATCTGTATTCTGAGAGCACAGAAGAATTTTCTTATTCATAAATGTCAATTAGAGCTACGGAACATTTCTCAAATAGATGGTTTTAACACTTGCTACTTGGTTTTTTTGCCCATCTCTGCTTTTGGTCATGCTGTGCTTTTGGTCACATTAAGCACTTGAGTATTTAAAACAGTATTTCAATTTGATTGTTTCCTTTGTGGAATTAGATCAAAATGCTATTAATATTCATGTTCCTGAGATTCCCTTGTTAGTACTGTAAGAGTATGGAAAGATTATTCACCTGGATAGCTTTCAAAGAGCTCTTTGACTTCAAATTGTGTTTTAAAGTGCTTTTGTATAGGAAAGGAGGGGTTGAGTGATGCAGGAGCTGATTTTTGCAATGGCTTGTATTGGCTTCCCTGACTAACAGCCCTGACACTTGCTTTTAATTGCAAAGGAAATGTCTTGGGTTTTCTGGTGTTGTATTATAGCTACATTTTGATAAATCGCTCCATTTGACTTGAGTTCTTGGGAAGTTGTGGAGATGGTGAGGTGATGTGGCTGCCACTCACCAATTAGGCCTGTCAGTCTATGTGAGTGGGAGCTGGAATGCAGTGTCTTTTTATTCCAACCCAATAACATGATTTCTGTATACTGATGATTATTGCAGGTAAAGACGTGACATAAGAGGCATTTCCTAGTGGTCTGTTGTGACTTTAGGGCTCCACTGGCTCCTGGGTTGTCTTTTAGGCAATTTGAGACCCTCTTCTCACTTGGAAGTTTTTTTTGTCTATGAAGATCCCTAAAAGGTTCTCTGCTTCCCTGATCTGATGTTCTTTTTTACCCTCTAATCCTGTCTGTTTTGTATTTGAGTAAAACTAACTCTTCTAATCTCTACACTGCCCTTTTGAAGAAGGGGCTAAAGTCTTAGGGCAGGTTTTTAAGAAGGCTCCTGTCAGACACTCCCAGGTTCACTAATCCAAGTTGCGCTTCTTGGTTACAGACTGAGATTTCTTGCCGATCGAAATGAAGATGGCCAGTCCAGTCAGTGATGGTGAGAACTCTTCGTGTATTTTTGCCCATCTCCATTGTGGCTGCTGAGTGTTCTAAATGGATGGGTCATTCCTTGCTTGCCTCAAGTAGCTGTACCTTATCCTATTCATATGGATTCTAGCAGCCAAGATTTTTTGTGGAAAAGGAAGTTGAAGTCGCAATAGACTGCGCGTGGCACGGGGATTGGAACTAGATGACCTTTAATGTTCCTTCCAACCCAAACCATACTGTGATTCTGTGTTTGCTTGTTTCAACATTTCGGCTTCTCTGGCTACTCCCTGTTTATGACTCCATGAACAACATAAATAGACTTTGCCAGCAGAAGTGACCTTTGTTCCTCTCCATAAAAACTTTTCTTTTAGAAATTCTCTTTGAAATCACTGAAGGGAATATTCCTGATGTAGGTAAATTTAAGCATGATGATTGCCCTGCAGACCTGTCTTTACTTCTGCTGCAGAAAAGTATCAGGTAGAGGGTGTTGTCTGTAGCAGTTTAATTGACAAGCAGTAAGACTATTGTTCTGTCTCTCTGGTTCATTTAGCTGTGCTAACCCTGCTCAGAGAGTGCCCATCAGCTGAGCTGTCACTGACTGGGTGTGCCCTTTGGCCTTTGGTAGATACAGAATATCTGTGTTTTCTTAACCAGGGCAAGCATCGCCCTAAAGATGATTTAAGTGAGAAGGCTGGGAGCACACAGCAATTGGTTCTGCTGGTTATAACTATGCTGTTTGCTTGTTAAACTGCACATTACCAAACCTAACTCATGCCCAAGCTTAACTGGTCTTTTAAAAAGGTTATTATCATTTTGATGTGGTATTTTTTGATCTTTCTCTTCTGCCACTAATTTTTAGGCACATACATATATATAGAGAGAGAGTGGGCTTTTTGTATAAAAAGCACTAATAAGGAGTTTTCTCCAATTTATTGCTGTGCTTTGGCTCAAAACCATGAGTTAACAACTTCCTGAAAACACAACAGACTGTGCTCCTTCATGTATAAAGTTGGGGGGTTTTATTTCAAGTGTCTCACTGAATTGAAATTTGACATGGAAAGTACTGTGTTTGCTGATGTTCAAGAACTTCCTGTGACAGGTCTTAACTCCTGGGTTAAATCCTCCCAGTTCCAGGGGTGGTGCTCAGTGTGCTGAGCAGTGGTGTTGGCCACCTTTTCAGAGAGTGAGGGTAAAATAACTACTTTAAGTTTCTGCACTCTTAGACTAAAAGCTAATACATTGCTAAGATGGCAAACATAACCTTTGGAGAAGCAAAGATGATTTCAGGAGGATATTTATGTGTGTTTTGAAAATATTCAGTGAGTGTGAAGAATTATCTGTTTTTTTGTAATCTTTCTTACACAGCACATGTTACTCGTGACCAGCTGGAAAGTAGAGCACACAGCATAGAAGAAATCTGTCCAGAACTGTAACTGCTTGTCAAAGACACAAATATAAACATCGCTTCATGTTTTTTGCAATTAAGGCTCTTAAATGTTGAGAAGCATATCAGTTACAATGTTGTATTGCCAAGAATGTTAATTTTAGACTTGTCCATTAGGCAGAAAACACTGTCTGATTGATTTATTCTTGTGCCTAGTATTTCATGAAGAATACTGCTTCATAATCTGTTCAACCAGAATGGCATTCCCTGTATGTATAATGCTGATTATCTTGCGTGATGTACTGTTACTCTTGCTTTGAAACACTCACTATCTTTGGGTTTTTCACTATTTATTTGAGAGTGTTCTAGATGTGGTGTCTCTTATCGAAAGGTTTGGGATTCAGGAGCCAAACGGTACAGCATAATATCAGATTGACATGTGAGCTATTTATCAGATGTGTTAAGCAATTTAAAAAGGGATTATTTAAGTCCTACAACCTTTTTGTAAAGTGTTGACCTGTTAATCTAGATTTCAGTATGTTACTACCTGCACTTTCCCAGTCTGTAGAACAAGAGCTGTGTTATTTCTTAAGAGCGGTGTTTGGGATCGGTTGTTAGTTTCTGACTAAAGCAGTACTAACATCTGGTGGAGGGAATGTTTTGACACTGGAAATGGCTGATTTGATCTTTGCATTTCACTGTCATTATCTCTTCCGTCGGGACTGGCTGTTTTGTGGAGCTCTCTTTGGCTTATTGTGACAACATGGAAGTTTCCTCCTGCTTTTCTCTTAAAACCACATCCACTGTCACTCTTCTGGCTCATTTCAGACGTTTGGTTCTTTCCAGTTGCATGAACAGTGCTTGTGCTACTAGCACCTGAAGAAAAACACCCAGCCACAAGGAAATCCACATCAGGACTGTGAAGATGTGCTGAGCTTAGGCTCTGGCTGTTCTTTATTAAAGATAACTGCTGTTGATCTACTCATTTGGGGTTGGCAACCCCCATACTGAAAACCACTGGTCTATATCTTCCTATGTCCATTGCAACTTAGAGCAACTGCTTTTATAAATGAAGGCTTTTTGGAAGACTAGAAGGGAAACTGCCTAATTCAAATACTTTGTTTACAGTGTGGTTATATAGCCCCCATAAAGAGGGATTCTGCACCTCCAAATTGCTGTAAGCAACTTCCCACTGGGTGAAATTTGACTGGTGAATGTTCCGGTATTCAGAGTAGTTCCTGGGGTTTATTACACAAACAAAGTAATACACTTAAGCTTTAGCTTGGTTATGGAATACAGTGTATATCTTAATTTTGATCTGAATTTGATATGTTGCAAAAATCCATATAATTATATGGATCTATTTTAAAATGTCTTTTTCTCCACTGTATATGTGAAGTTTGAATAAAGGAATGAAAGTTATTTTACAGTTATATGCATTCTCAGGTGTGAGCTTTCCTGAAGTCCCAGAGAGATTGAGAGTGAATAAGGTGATAGGATGCTGTCCTTTGGAAGATTTATACAGGAATAATTCATTAGAATGGATGCATTGCCAAAGATACCTGTGAGTTGTGCTAACTGGGTGTTGTAGTGTGCCTTTCCCAACTATCTCTTCTCTTTAGTAGGTAACAGGGTAGTTAGTCAGCTGTGGGTTATTTAATCTTCTAAGGTCCTGAATCAGGATTAATAGCATCTTTTCACAAGAAAGACTTGAACTCTTGATTCAGGCCAGCGTGGTGATGGTAATTTTTCAAGATGGATAATGCTGTTTCTTCTTGCATCAAACACAGTCACCTCTATAGAAAAAACAGGGGTTAAGAGCAAGCATTTAGATACTTCTGACTCCTCAAGTAATTTACTTGAGCTTTAAATTTGGCTCGCAAGAATAGGATTTCAAAACTCTTGAGTTTGCTCCCTTTCCATGGCAGTTTGCAGTGTTCAGAGTGTTGTCTGCACTGAGCTGTGTTTCAGACCCCGAGCCAGGCACTGAGGTCCTGCTCGGCAAAGTCACGTCGCTTTCAGAGGGGTGTGGGTGGGTCGGGGGGTGACCAATGTGTGTGGGCAACACAGATCTGTTCTGCGAGGCTGTACAACACGTTACCTGTACTTGGTGATAAGTACACGTGGGTACCTTGTACCTGCAGTTAAGGTAAAATCCAGCAGCACCAGCTCTTATCCAAGCTAATGTCCTGTCCTCCTTACCCACTCCCGCCTTCTGTGTCCAAGACCATTTTGGTGCTCAGTGGGGCTTCTCTGTACCCTACAAGGTCTAGAAAGCATTTTGTTTAACAAACAAACTCTGTTAATTTCCAATAAAGACCCTTCCTGTAATGGCTTCCAAAGTCCCGAATGAAATGTAGCTTTGAGGGAGGTACAGTACATAAATGCATGAAGATGGTTTTAAATTAACCTCAGAATGTATAGTAGGCCTTTCATCAGTCAGATGATTTTGAGCTCAGTGATTTCCCTTTTTCCATGCCACCAAACCCCTAAGTTCTAGTTTGATGCCATTTTGAAACTTGTTTTAGTTTGGGGTTTTTTAAAGGCTTTGTTCTCTTCATTCTCCTCGGTGCTGGCGAAAATTCTGTTCTGCTGTTTCATCTTCCTCACCAGGAGTGCAAACCTGATGTCCCTGACACTGCTTTTAACTGAAAGGCGGGTTTACTTGGTTTTCTCCAGGCTTACACCTTCATGCATTTTAAAAGCTAAACCAGGCAAGTAGTTACAGATGCTCTATATAGCTTTTTTTCCAAAGGGATGTCTGATTTCCCTCTACTTGGGAAATACCAGTTATAGTTCCCTGCTGAAGGGACAAGAGAAGAAATGCCTTTTCTCTTTTTACATTGATGGGGATTTAGCTTGCATGCACATCTTAATCTTTAGGTGCGTATGGTAAAGGCTCATTTGTACAGTACAGAGTGGTACAAAGAGGAAACAAAAGATATACAGCCCTTACTAATGTGGACAGTGAGCTCCACAGCATCATAATTGTGAAGTTTCTTGCACAGGTTTGAGTCCTCAAGCTGCATCTTGTTTAGAGAGAGCATTTTCAATATGCTTCCAATAGGAAGATAACTTGCAAATAAGAGCCTTAACTCTGTCTATAAACGTTTTTTTTTTCTGTTCTTAAAGTTTCTTTCACACCAAGTTGTACACAGTTCGTGGAAACTGCAAATATTTTTTCCACTCTCTCATGTTAAAGCTGTAGATCTTACCAGAACTCTTTGTTTCTGTAATATGCTTTTTTTGTGGTGTTAATTATGATGCCACCTCGCAAATGTAATTATTCTATTGGAAACCAGTGTTAAGTGTCACAACGTAAATAAAACCATTGTTTTCATTACTGCCTTATGGCACTAATACTAATCTATTGGTTGTACTTCTTGGAGCTCTTCAGAAGAAACCAGCAGCTACTGCAGAGTTTGCAGGTGTGTTCACAGATAAATTCTTACACCAATATTGCAATTTCCCTGTGACTGCAAGTGAGGATGTGCTCTTTAGTGTAACTTTTATATAAATCAAGTTTGTACACACTTTCAGATTTGTTGGCTTACCTGGACCTCAGGGTAGATCTGGTAACCTGAATCACAAATTTAAGACAGCAGCACCACATAAAAGGTTGCATTTTTCAGGGTGTTTTTCTTTGCGTGTTGTAGGATTTAGGCACGACTGGTCTGTCTCTTCGTGGTCAGTGTTGAGTAATCACTCACCAGCACTGAGTAATGGAAAATTACTAACACCAACTACTCCTTAGGAAGTAAAACTATTCTCAGAAAAAGAGCTGGGCTTTTTTCAATTGCGTACTTCAGCTGAAAAGTGGATTTCACATCAATGCAGCCTAAGTGGTACAAATATTCCTTAACGTGATGCTTCTTCTCAGTGGGTGTGACTTGACTCCTTAACCAAACTAGTGGTAGTTTGGCTACTTTTGGTGAGGGACAGCTCACAAAAACATACGTTTGTTACATCTGTGTAACTTGGAGTTTGGTTCTGACATTTCACCAGTCTTAGGAAAAAACCTGACACCCTAAACCACAACTGAATGAACCACAAAGTGTCCCTTTGCTTCTGTGAAAGGACACCTGAACTGAGGGAGCAACATAAGTCTTATGTTCCCCTCCATCCTTCCATGCTGACTGTTTCTCCTTGTGACACCAAAAGGATGTCAGAGGTGAGAGAGTGGGGAGAACAGGAAAAAGAGAGGTGGTGAAACGTGGTGCAGGTGCTGGGGCAATGGAAGGTGGGAGGGCTGCAGGGGATAAGTGGGCTCGCTGGAAGCAGGTATGGCAGCTCCTCAAACTCCTGGAGGAGCCAAGTGAGAAGATTATCAATGCACATCAGCTTCCCAGCACGGCGCCCCTGTGCCTGCAGGACGGAGCCCGGGACGTGTGACTGCTTCATCTGTGCCAGGTCTAACCTGAACAGTAAGTCGTACTTGTCTGTCCCTCCTTTGGGGATGAGCAGCATGGCTGGAGCTCCTTTGCTTGTTAGTTTTCCATCTGGGAACAGTAAGCAGTGCCAAACTGGCTAAAGATCTTTTCTGCGTTCTCTTAAGGGATCAGAAATCTACAATGTTTTTGCAGTCCTTCACTGCAAACTGCGAGAGGACCGACATGGTACTTTTTCACTCTGTGATACGGCCCTTCAAAGAGTATTATCGGGCAAACACGAACACACAAACACTTGATAGTCTTTGACAGGAACACCTGCGGTCTGCGTTTCTCCTTCAAAGACACTTTCGAGTCTCCTCCTGGTAACACAACTCCGCAGTGATTACCACGGTGTAGAACTGCATCACGCCGGAGAGCACCGACAGCTGGGGCTTCTGCACGGTGACACCCTCAGCAGGGACTGGCCCTGTGTGCCCCTGTGTGTGCCCTTGTGTGAACCCCCGCGTTAGTCCGTGTGTGCCGGCCCGTGCGCGCTCCGCCGCAGCGCCCGCCCCGCGCCGCGCACGCGGCACCGCGGCCCTTGCTGCCCCCCCGGCACCTGCTCAGACGGGGCGCCGGGCCGGGCCTTCCAGCACAGGTGTCGCTCCCCAGGGGAGGGGTTCCCCTATTTAATAAGGAGCTTTAATGTAACATATCCCGCAGGCACAGACCGAGCACGGCCCGTCCCGCCCCGGCAGCGCCGACCGGGCCCGAGGCCGTCTGTTCCGGGTGGCCCGCGGCCATGCAAGACCTCCCCATGGGCCGCGGAGGCCGGCCGGCCAGCGCCTCCCCAGTTAAAAGCGGGGTACCGGCTGTCAACTGCTCGCACTCCGATCCCTGCGGGGCCTGGCGGTTTGGCTGCCTCCTTCTGGGTGGCCGGCGCTGATTGGGCGCTCTGCCCGTTGTGCCGCCTCTCAACGCCTTGCGATGGTGGCCGTGCGCCCCCCCGCCCCCGGCGGGCGGTCCCCGCTGGTCCTGGCCCGGCCGTCAGTCCGCGCGGTGGCGGGGGCGTGCCTCGGGAAGGTCTGCCCGCCGCCTCAGCCTCGGCAACTGCCCGCCCCGCAAGCACCGCCCCGCCGGCCCCGGCCCGGCCTCGCCTCGCCCCGGGCTCCTCCGCGACCAACCCACCGCCAGCAGCCGCAGCAAGCGGAGCAAGCGGCGCCCCGGCGCATGAAGGTGACCCGTGGACTGTCGAGGAGATGGCCTCTGAAAGGACTCGCCGCGTTTCAGGTACCGCCCGGGGAAGGCCCGCGCCGGGGTCGTGCCGGGGGACAGGAAAGCGGGGCCCGGTGTGTGCGCGGTGGCGGGCAGGGGCTGCGGGGGCGGGGGCCGTTGGTGGGCCTGAGGGGGACATGGTAGGGCCAGTCCGGCTCCGGGAGAGCGGCGGGGCGGGTCTGTGGTGGGTCCTGGCCGGGTTGTGGGGGGCTCTGAGGAGGAGGGGGACGCGGGAAGTGCGAGGGAAAGGGGCAGCGTGTGTGGTACGTGAGACTGGGTGGGCAGTGTGCGGGTCTGGGGCTCGTGTAGAGGTGGCAGAGTGCGCGGTGACCGCTGCTGGGGTCACCCCCTCTGAAGAGATGGGTGAGGAGTGCCAGGCAGCTGGTGCTCATCATCCACAGCAATGCCAGCTCGGGCTCGGGAGCGTGGACTCTCGTGGTGGTCCATCTCCGCTTCTCCAGGGCTGTGTTCGTGCTTCAGTCCCCCGTGTCTCCTGCTGCACGGTCCGTACTCGCTGTGCCCACTGTCGGGGTGCCAGTACCAAACAAACTCATATAATCTCACTTCCTGTTGTCACACCAAGGCACGGACTCTTTGTTTTTTCCCCACTCCAGTGACCAGTTGTCTGTCATTGCTGTAGGGTTACTTCTGCTTATGTCGGGCAGCTTTCCCCTTCATCTTTCCCTATGTTTTTATCCATTATCTCTCTATATATTTTACTCCATTGTATCTACTCAACATAGTTGTGCCTCTCTAAGGGATGTGTGGCTGGTCTGTGCCTCCATACACCTCCCACCCTCCCTGCTCGTTGGTGGAGACACAAACAGCTCCATGACATGATGTGTCACTGCTGAGCCCCTCCTGTCCCATGCTGAGCCCATGTTTGGAGTGCCTGTGGCTCTGTGGTTGACACAGCCTGGATGAGCTCTGCTTGTTGAGGGAAATACTCCTGCCCTTCCCCTGCTCTCTGGCTGTGTGTTCACGCCTCCTTTTTTGTATCAGCTTTCCCAATCGCGTGGTTCTGGGATGTGGAGGAAGTTGGAGAAGAAGGGTTGAATGGTTTATGCTTGGCAGAAGTTGGAGTTCCTGTTCTTCCCTCCTTTGCTCCTGTCCCTGCTGCCAGCTGGTTGCTGGCTGTTTCTGCCATGGGTTTTTTGGTGACTGTGACATGTATTGTTGGATCCTCCAATGAGCTGGGTGTCCTGGCAGAAGAGACTGGATGGTTCTCTGCCAGGCTGGTGCATTGAGTCAGCACTGCAAGGGGTGTGAAACCTGCTAAAGCTTATAGGGGGGAGAGAGAGGAACCTTCACTGCCAGAAGCAAAGCTAGAGGAAGGCAGCAAGGAGTGAGACCTCCCCTAGGGCAACAGGCAGCTCAACTGCTCCACAAAACTTTGCCCTGAGTTGGACATGCTTGCTAGTGTGTGTACTGTCTGTCACAACTGTATTTAATCAGTCCATCCTGTTTGGTGACAATGTAGTTGTAGATTGACTTAATTTAACCACAGAACTAATTGCATTTTTTTGGTTACTGATACTTGCTAAAGTATTAAATACATTAGAGAAAACAAGAAATTGTGACTAAAATTTGTGAGCAGAAGTGTGCTGCTGTTTATTCAAGTTAAGACATACAAGTTCATTTGAATTCACTTTGTATCATTCTCCTTTTGCCCCTCTTGATTCCTTTCCTTCAAGAAAAGAAACTTTGTCTTCAGGATCCTTTAGTACTTCATGGTCTTTCCCTCAGTCTCTGATACTACTACCCTTGAAGAAATTGCAGAAAACCTTGTGGTGCCATCACTTGGTGCCAGCAAAACATCCTTCCAGCCTTTAACTGATAGGAAGTGGTTAAAATCATGAAGAAAAAGTCCTATAGTATTTCTGAAAAAAACGTTTATATCTCTCATTATTAGTCATTAATATTTGCTATTATAATTTCGATCATTTTTAGTGTTCCTGTGAATTACCCAACCAAAACACCAGAAGCCTTCTGAATGAAGGTTGCTGCTCTGGTTTTGTTGAGGGATGTTGGAGACACTGATGTGGAGCAAGGTCGTGACAAAGTCCTTCACTCTTGCAGGGAGTAGCGTGGACATAAAGCACCTTCCTGTGCTGTGTTCCCTGTAGCAAAGCAGAGCTGCAGCTTTCTCCTGACTTTGCTGAGCAGGAGGGTGTAGCCTCCCTCCTTCCCATCACTGTACCTGTTGGAGCAGTTAAATAAACCTGTTGGGAGGCATATGGTGTAGAGAAATGTCACAGAGGTTACTTTCTTATGGTTGTGGAGAGATCTGGGAGGACATGGGTGAATCAGAGTTCCTGAGTCACCAAATCTCTGTTTTCATGGGGAACTGTTTAAATATTTTCAAACATGCTACTACAGACAGCTTCAGACACATGGCTTTCTTGCTTACCTGTTTCTTGTGGAGTTCATGTTCATCTCTTTTGGCTTTGAGATTTAATTGGGCCCTGAATCATAGAAACAAAGGTCTGTTTCCTTGCCTGAAATGCATCTGAAGGGAGAGGGGGTTGTGCCTGTTGATACGTGATTAGTTAATAATGGCCTCTCTTAAAATATGAAGAGGCCAAAGATCTAGCAAGGAAATGCATTTGCAGTTCTGCAACAGTGTGTGGTGACTTCCCATCAAATGAAGAAGTTGCCTGGGGAGGGGCAGTCCTTGAGTAGTGAGAACTGATCTGTGCTGGCATGTTCTGTGTATATAAT